CGACTGCACAATAAAAAATGTCCTTTGGCCATCTGTCACAAAATGAATGGAAGACTCACCCTGAGAATTTTTTAAAAAGGTTTCTCTCTCTCTCTCTATTTTTAAGCAAATTGTTTCACCAAACTGAATACAAAACTAAAAGGGAAAAAAGTCAAAGAGTTCTCTGCCTGACTACATACCAGGATAGTGAAGCTTTGATTTAGTAGACCTTGATACAGCATGGAACAGACCAAATTTCTATGACAATTTATATCACTTGTGCAATGAAGTCATCATGCAAATTATATAAAATAAAGGATATAATTTGCATCATTGGTACAATGATGTCATTGCAATGATGTTCATGAGTAATGTTATATTAACATTACTAATTATATTATATAATTATATTATATAATATATTATATTACAATAAGTAGTATTAGTCTATTAAAATGAGGTTTCACTGTACTGCCAAGGTTGTAGATGCTCTTTCTGTCTTCTGAAAATATATGATTACTTTTTATTAGCAACAATAAAAGATAAGAAACTCTGATATAACAAACTAAAATGAATTATTTTATTATCATACATAGCCCATATAATACAGTCAGATTATTGTATTTTCTACTTTAAAGCACAATTGTTTCTTGGAAAAGGCAGAATTTTTATTCCTGATTTTAATTTCAGTCAGTTTGTTTTACGTAGATTTTATTTATTTGTTTATTCATTCATTCATTTAACAAATTTATATAGGCTGCTCATCTCTGTCAATTTATTTTACCTAGGCTTTATTTATTTATTTAACAAATTTATATAGCCACCCACCTCACAAAATGTGACTCTGGGCAGTGTACTACACATAAAAACAACAAGCATCTTAAAACACAAAGTAAAAACAGAAAAACAAAAACAAAAATAAAAATAAAAACTCAAGATAACGGGAGAGGCAACCATCACTTAACATCACACAACCATCTTGCCAGCTCATCATGGGACCCCCCAAGGTTGATGGAAAAAACCACTTCTTGAGGGCTTTCTGGAAGGCAAGTAGGGATGGGGCCAATCTCACCTTGGGGGGAATGATGTTCCGTAGGGCAGGGGACACAGCAAAGGCACGCCAGTCCTACCAGATGTAACTACTTAGATGACGGGACCCACAGCATACCCCTCCTGCTTGACCTGATGAGATGGGTAGATGTAACCAGAAAGAGGCGGTCCCTCAAATAACCTGGTTCCAAGCCACATAGGGCTTTAAAGATCAAAAGCAGCACCTTGAATTGCACCTGGAAGCAAACTAGCAACCAATGTAGCTCATGGAACAGACACATAACAAGTGCCATCCTAGGTGCACCCATAACTGTCCACGCAGCCACATTCAATACTAGCTGAAGCTTCCGGATACCCTTCAAGGGCAGCCCCATGTAGAGGACATTGCAGTAATACATTCTAGAGGTGACCAGGGCATGAGTAGCTGTGAGTATAGCCTCATGGTCCAAGAAATGGCACACAACATGAAGTTGCACAAAGGCTCTCCTAGCCACAAATGCCATCTGCTCCTCAAGCAGGAGTCACAAGTTTAGAAGGACCCCCAGATTGTGCACCAATTCTGTCTGGGGCAGTGCCACCCCATCCAATACCAAATATGGTAAAATCCCAGATCCAGAAGGCCCAAAATTCCAGAACCACTCAGTCTTGCCAGGGTTCAGCTGAAGCCTGTTGTTCCCCCATCTAGACCCCTGAAGCCTCTAGGCACCAGGACAGGACATCAACAGCATCACTTAATTTGTCTGGGGCAGAGATATATAACTGGGTATCATCATACCTCACCCCATGGCAATGGATGATCTCACCCAACGGCTTCATGTAGATGTTAAATAGGTGTGGAGAGAGTACTGAACTCTGTGGTACCGCACAAAGTAGGAGCCAAAAGCGGTATCTCTCGCTCCCAATCAGCATTGGTTGGTACCAGCCCCACAGAAAGGAAGCGAACCAGCACAATACTGTGCCACCCACTCCCAATCCACAGAGCTGATCCAGAAGGATACCATGGTCGATGGTATCGAAAGCTGCTGAAAGGTTAAGAAGAGCAAGGACAGATGTACAACTCCTGTCCGACTCCCACCAAAGATCATCCAAAACTGCAACCAATGCTGTCTCCGTTCCATGCCCAGGCCTCAATCCCAACTGAAAGGGCTCCAGATAATCTGCTTCATCCAAGGCCTGCTGAAGCTGCTGCACAACCACCTTCTCCACAACCTTCCCCAAAAAAGGGAGGTTACATACCAGACAAAAATTGTTCAGCATGGTTAGATCCAGTGATGGCTTCTTGAAGAGGGGGAAAACCATCACCTCCTTAAGAAGCTATAGAACAATCCCCTCTCTCAAAGAAGAATTCACCATTGCTAGGATCCAGCCACATGACACCCTTCAGGCAGCCTTAACTAGCCAGGGCATGGATCTAAGGAGCAGGGGCTGAGCTCACAGTCCCTAGGACCCTGTCCACTTCCTCAGGTCCAACCGTTCCCAGATAACAAGGGCAAGACTGTACCTTGGGCACCTCTACTGGATCTGTATCAAAGCTGGAGTCCAGCTTGGAATGAATCCAAGTGATTTTGTCCATCAGATGCTCTGCAAGTTCCTCTGCACAGCCTTGCAAGTAAACCTCTGTGTCCTCCTTTCCCAGGAGGGCTCATGTCACCTTAAACAAGGCTGCCAGGTAGCTATCTGCAGATGCAATAAGGGCAGAGAAGTACTGATGCTTCGCCATCCTTACTATCACAAGGTAGACCTTAATAGCAGCTCTCACCCATGTTCAATTGAGGTCATCCCACATTGACCACCAGAAACACTCTAGATGTCTCTCCTCCCGCTTCATTTCCCTAAGCTCCTTTGTAAACCACAGAGAGTGACAGGGTCCATGAAAAGGGAGAGGCTGCATGGGCGCAATCTGATCTAAAGCTCTGGCTGCCTTTTCATTCCAGGCAATGGCCAGGACTCAACCAGACTGTGCAGCAGATTGTCAGGAATAACCCTCAGCTCCTTTTGAAACCAATCTGGGTCCATTAATCACTGGGACAGACCAATCTAATAGGTCCCGCCTCCCTGCAGCAGTGGGTGGTGCCAGAGAATCTCATGGCTACCAGGGCCTGATCTGATCATGACAGACCAGCCATCGAAAGCTTCAATAGCAGATCACTTTGTTACTGCTCCAACAAGAAAGCCAGATCAGGGGTATGACCACTGTCCTGAGTTGGGACTTGGATGACCTGGGATAGGCCCATGGCCTATCTTTTATATCTTGCTCATACAGATAGTTCTCATTTAGCAACCACAACTGGGACCGGCAACTCAGTTGTTACGTGAAGCAGTCACTAAGTGAAACCACAACAGTACTTATGATCTTACTTCAGCTTTTCTTTGCTTTACAGACCTGCAAAGATAATAAGTGTAAGGATTGGTCATAAAGTTACTTTTTCATCACTGCTGTAACTGTGAACAGTCATTAAATGAAGACTATCTGTATTTTATTTTCCTAAGCAAAGTGAAAGGGGACATCAGGAATAAATATGTTTTTAAATGGATTAGAAAATTTCGTTCTGAAATATCAAAAGTAAAAACAGATACAAAAACATATAGTCTCTCAACCATATGATATACCAAAATGTATATAACAAAATTGGCTTTTTCTGAATATGAGTACTTAAAGGTTAACATTCTCAGACATACACTGTATAAAGAATTAAAAGTAGGAAGTTTGCGAATAACTTAGATATCACAAAATTGGGTTTGACTTCTGGGTACTATATGAATAAATGCTCCTCACCTTGACCTCTTTTTAGTAATAATTAAATCTAGGGATTTCTGATAATCCAGGAACTCTCAAACTTTGCAATACTGCAGCTCCAAAATGATCGTTAGATTGTGCAACTCCACCCCATGAATGAAGCTAATGATTTCACTGGGAATATGGTTGAGTAAGAAATATATAGCTTAATTTTAACCATTAAAATTTAATCTATATATCAAATAAAACAATGGTAGATCCTTACATATTTGTAAAATAAAACTGTTTCATTGGAAATAAACAAAAAAATAACATTTAAAATCATATTTTTTGTTGGGAAGGATGAGTTTGCTTACTTTTGCACTGAAATCAGAAGATGAATCAATGGTCCTACAGTTATAGTTACCACAATTTCAAATTAAAAAAGAGGATGCCACTGATACTTCAGTTTGTTGTTGTTAGTAGTTTTGAGGTGAAACTACTTTCCAACCTCCTGTTTGGTGTTCATAAATCTATCCCTCCATTCTTGCAATTTCCTCCTGGCTGCATCTTCCCAGCTTTTCCTCCCTTCTACTGAAATCCCTTATTCATGCCCTCTAGGCATTGCTTTTCATTCAGCATACTTTTGTATCAGACTGGTAAACCTGCTTGCGAGAACTTCCCAATTGTTATCCCGAGGCTCCCATGGGAATCATGACTCTCACTTTGAGAAATGCTGCAATAATCTGTCAGATCCTGTTCATCTACTTACATTAACTTTGTCAAAAATGCCATTTTTTTTCTAGCTCACTGTTCTTTCTCACCATGTGTCCATAGTAACCGAGTTCCCATTAGTAATCATCACTTCAAGGGCGTAATTGGTCAGTCTTTAATTAGGTCCAGGACTGACTGAATGGTTCTTCTTTCAGTCTACTGTACATTTTGTAGCTATTTCCAAATCTATAACTTAAAGGTGTTTATCTTCTTTTCTTTGTTCTTTCTCAGTGCCCAGCTTTCACTCCTGTACCTTACCACTAGAAAAACCTGTATCTTAATATTTTGATTTTTTAAAGCACTGAAATATACTTATTGTACATGATTCTCCCCAGGATTAAAATATTTTTTTAGAATTGTATGTTTTTGTATTAATTTACAATAAAGAGCCTAAGAGTTTGGATTTTAATTGTGTGTTATTCCTATCAAATAAAAAGGATGGTTATGATGACTTCAATATAAGCAACTTGGTCTACTTTACTTGTTTCTGATGTTGTCAGTTGTATCAAATTTTCACTTTCTTCATCAGTGCTTCCTTCATAATTTTCTTTTTCAACCGTACTTTCTGACGCAATCGCTGTGTCCCTAGAACATTACAAAGCTTTATCAAAAGACACCAGTACTATACAATATACAGAGTTCATAAACAGGCAACAAAGGGATGAAATGCCTTAACAGAAAAAAAAATGGTTCATTGGATTATGTGGATTAATTGGATTAATGGATTAATCTTACTGTATAATGTTGGGTAACATTTGTAATAGTATATGGATTACTTTTAGAAATACATTCCTCATTGTAATGATGAGACTGAATATAGACAAAAGGATAAAGAGATTTGTGTCATTCCCAACCTTCTCACATTCAGGAAACTACTAAAGGTTGTTCTCTCAGGCCTTGGGGACAGGGTGGTTGTGGAACCCCCTTTTGTCCTTTTGCCTGTTTTGCTTCATTTTGTTTCATGCTGGTCTTGTTTTGAACACTTTGCTCTTCAGATCAGTTGTATTATCTATCTATCTATCTATCTATCTATCTATCTATCTATCTATCTATCTATCTATCTATCACCTATCTACCTACCTACATACCTATCTACCTACCTACCTTAGCTGTAAGCCACACAGAGTTGTTTGGGAATGGGATGAGAGGCTATAAATTAAATAAATAAGGTAAAGGAACAGAAAACACACATTCTATTATTTATTTTATTTGTTACTCATGACCTTTTCACTCTTTTTCCTTTCTAATTTTTTATATTTCCACATTCCATTTTTCTTTCCTCCTCTCCTGCTTCTATTGTACAAAAATGCTTTAATAGCCATTGTCCTGCTGCTGATGTGAGACATTTAAAGCCATGAAAGTCAATGTTACTCCTATTTGTCTAAATGTTACCGCTAATGTTGACAGATACTGGTTCTCATTAAAGTTTTAATATCTTATCTGTTTCTCCCCCATTTATGGCACAACAAAACCCCTTACGTAACATTTCTGTGATATTAAATTGAACTTTGTAGTCATTCAGTGCCTTGGGGAAGAAGTAGGTACATGCTAAGCTTTTGGTGTATGCCTACATCTATTCTAACATGCAAGATTAACCAGTGAGATAAAGTGTTTTCCAATAACTAAACTATATAGAGATTTATACCATACTAGGGCATACCATCAGGAATCCTGTATATAAATTCTCACATCATCTATTTCAATAGAAATACAGTAAAAACAAAGCAAGGTAGTTGTATTAATCATAAAAACTCTATATTAGAAAATACTCCAAGGTCACAAAAATATACAGGTTCTAGAGACCAAAAAAGTTTGCATTTTTGGTCTATAATCATGTACTGTAAATATTATCTCTGGAAATGTTTTCAATTAAACATCTTACATTAGAATCATTGTATGTTGATGTCAACATAATAAAAAACATAAATAAATATAAGAAATGAACTGGCCTCCTGCTTAAATGAAGTGTTTATTTAAATTCCATGAATAAATTCAAAAATTTCATCTTAAGGTACCCTAACCCTAACCCTAACCCAAACTTGGTCCATGGATATAATTTTATTAAAGTAAAGCATTCTTAAGTCAGATGAATTCTTGATGATCATGTGAATATTTTCTTGGCAATAATCTGGAAGTTTTGGCCATTGCTTTCTTCTAGCCTTTTTCTAAAAAACAATTATTATTATTGTTATTGTTGGTCGCACAGTCAGCCAGATGTTTAGACTGGATCTGGCATTTTTATCTACCTATCAAGTCCTTCCCAAGGACCTATATTATTATTACTATTACTATTATTATTATTATTATTATTATTATTTTATTTTATTATTTATTTTATTATTTATTATTTTATTATTTATTTAATTGTTGTGTTGTTGTTGTTGTTATTTTCCAGTCTAGCCTATAGACCTGGACCATCCCAGTACTAACCAAACCTAATCAACTGTAGCTTTTTATTTCTTCTTGAGGTTAGCCCATGTCAGCTAAGTGTGCTATTTTTCATTTCTATTTAATTATGTTCTCATGAATAAGAACTGGCCTTGTACATCCTTTAAGGGCTCAACATAGAATTTCCAGTTCTCAGAAATTTAAGGACTGCTCCCTCATAGGGGTTGTGGTAAATTTTTGTTAAAAGTAACCAGTATATGTATTCTCAGAGGATTGCATTGTTAACATTCCACTTTTCCATTCACAATTTTGACATATTTTTAAGCAATTAGTCCTGTTTTGTTTTCTTTCAGCACTTCACTTTGTAGAATTCAGAAAGGGAGAAAACTTCATGTTTAAACACAGCTTAGGTCCTATAAAGCTTTCTGTTATTATTTGCACACAATAGATTTAAAAAAGGGAATAACAGAGAAATGAAACACAGAAACATTCTTGTCTTCCCAGCCTTCCATCCATATTCTCAACCTTTTTCTACATCTTGAAAAATCTATTCTTTAGGTTGGCCAGACCTACAAAATTAAATCTTCCAGTTTGTGAAAGTTGAGTTATTACGACATCCTTACATTGAGGCTAGTACATGGATATGATTTCCAATTACAGGTAGTCCTTGAGTTACAACAGCAATTGGGACTGGAATTTCCGTTGACAATTTCCATGGCCCGTTGCCAGTTGGGGCCTTCTTTCACGTACCTGCCTTGAAAAGGACCCCTTCTAGCCAGGTCCCTCTTTCAAGCTGGCATGGTTAAGGCCTTCTTTTGTGCACCTGCCTTTTTTGAGGCAGGCACATGAAAGAAGGCACTAGCTGCACCGGCATGAAAGACCGACCCCTCTAGCTGGGTCCTTCTTTCACACTGATGCAGCTAAGGTGTTCTTTCATGCACCTGCCTTCCAAAATCTCACGAGAAGGCCGCATGCAATTTGGACAAGGCCACACGCAATTGGACAAGAAGCAGGTGCAACCTCAGGGAGAAGGCCAGCAGCTGCCTCGCAAAGGGCCAGGCCAGGCGTGCCTCAGCAGCAGCAGCAGCAGCAGCAGGAAGATGGCAAAGGTCAGCTAGGGGCGGCAGGGCCAGCAAGTGCACAGCAGCCAAAAGAGCAGAGATAGGGTGGAGATAGGTGGATGGAGGGAGTTGAAGTGCCCCTATGGTCGTAAGTGCAGTGGGCTGCCAAAGTCACCAATTTTGATCATGTGACTTTGGGGAACTGCAACAGCCTTAATTTTGGGGACTGGGCATAACTACCATTGCATTCAGCACTGCCATAACTTCAAATGGTCGTTGAATGGTCATAACTCAAGAACTACCTGTATTTATTCCAGTTAGGCATTTAGTGACCTCTGGGTTCATGTGATTCTTACTGTATTTCTGAAAGATGGAGGGTACACATGTAGCTCCTAACAGGAACATCTTAAACCAAAGAGGGGGTAGCTGTACAAGTCACGAAAAGATGCAGCTGTTTCAAAATGTTCCTGATGAGTGTTACATGTATACTTTCAATCACAATTTGTGCTTGGAATCCAGATTGCTGCATGGTCTTAATATTATTGGCATTACAATTCTGTTGTTACTCTAAAGCTCTGCTCAACATTTAGTAGTTTGATATTTTCAGAATCATATATGATTAAAGAGGGGCTTTATCCAGAAGCCATTCACTTTCTTTCAGTTGGAAACAATTTTTCAAGTCTTATTAAGGAAAATGGCCACTTTTAGACCCTATTGTTAGGTTCAATAGCTTCTACATGAGCTGTAATATTTTTAGTGACTTTACAGGAAATAAACTTTATCTTCAATTAGTCTGCCCTACCCAGTCACAGAACCATAAGCACAACATTTTCAAGAGAAAATAGTCTGCAGATTTCATTTCTCATTAGCTGTTTTATTTAAAAAAAAAGATGAAATTTTAGCAAGTAAATTAAATTAAATAAATAATTAATTAAACAGAATGCTTCAAATAAACACTCCAATGTAGTACATTATTGCCATTCATGAGATTTAATAGCTGAGTTGCTAAAGACATCTTCCACAGAACTAAATAATATATTACTTCACTTCAAGGACACTCCATCTCAACTTTGAAGCCTACACCAGTTAGAGAACAGAGCTACATCTATTTCATGCATGTTGTTTACCTAGCAGAAGGAAAGTAATAAATTATACCCTGCTTGTGCGGTTTCCGATACTGTTTCTTCAGCTTCTTTTAAACATTTCTGTAAGCTTCTTATCTTTGCTTTCTTTTCATTGAGGATCAAGACAAATCGTTTATAAAGGTCAGCCTCCAGTTCTTCTTTAGCTTCAACACATTTTTGTAATCTTAAAAATAAATGCCTCTTTTAATTGCACAGTAAAGAATAAGAGAGCTTTAAAAAAAAATACAGTGATGACCTTCCTGAGAAGCTTAAATCAAAGTTATGGAGTATGGCAGAAATGATGAGTAGATGTGAATGAGAAGCACTATTATACAAGGAAAATTACTTGATTATGACTTTCATTATAGATACAGGTATTATACATATTTATCTATTTTATATTTTGGGAGGATAATTATTTTAATAGGATATCAAAGATTGCATGCTGAAGTTTTTAAAATATCTGAATGAAACCTATATAATGGTTTATGAAAGAATCTGAAAACACATTGTACATGGGCTCATACTGAACGCTGCCAGTTTACTTGCAGAATGGATACTGCTGGCATCCTGAAAAGTAAAGCATCATCTTCTAGCATCTTATTCCTTGCAACAATATATTTCAATCCCTCAGTGTCCCAGTGGGTTGGTAGACAGCATTCTGGAGAGCTAGTCTGCCTGCCAATAAATGAATTTGGGATTAAACCTGCCAGAGATAGCAGACATTTTATGAATAGGCCATTTTGTGAGTGTATCGGGGCCAAATGGAGCCTCGCTCTGCTGTACAGTCTCATTAACTAGAAAACCAAAGTATTGCCAGACTTTCCCAAAGTGCAATAATTTGTCATGTTACTAAAGAAGCACCAGAAACCTAGTGCTGGCAAGTTGTTACTGCTGTTGGGAATTTAGCCATCAAAAACATCAATCCACAAAAGGAACTAAATATATGTGTTATAAATACATAGATGCATGTGTGTGTGTGTGTGTGTGTGTGTGTGTGTGTGTGTGTGTGTGTTATATGTGCAATTCTACATGCATCATTCCATAAGTAAATGCAAAATGCAATCCTGTAGTAGAATACCATCATAGAATTTGGTACCACTGTCTTCCAATTTAAAAGCACATTTCTTCTTGCACATTAAATGATTATATCTGTTCAAACATATTTATGTCAAATGTATTTGGATCTTCACACTAGTCCATGTCAAAATGTTAGGAAACATGGCTTTTACAGCTTTAGCTATTAAATGTTCATAAATAACAAATAATTCTATGAATTTATATGAACTTATACTGCCCTGCTATGTGATATGGATGTTCAACAGCTAATAAATCATTCATCTAATTTAAATGCAAATGACTGAGTATCATTACTGCAGAGATCAGTTCAGTAAATCTTGCCAGAAACATTAGAGGTACTAATCAACTACCTGCAGAACTTCTGTACATAAATCAAGTTTTAATTACTTGGGGGAGGAGTAAGAGAGAACTGCCAGGAATGATAAAAGTGCAAGTATCAATATGTAAATAAGTATCTCCATACAATACATTGTGGGAGGACTCAACATTTTTAGTAGTACTTAAAACAGTTGGAAAATATACTATCTGTGTTTTGACTGATAGGTATAATTCAATAAAGGTCATATCCAATTGATTTAAATTAACTTCATTAATCCCCCTGTTTAGCATAGAGCAATGCTACTATTTAATTATTTATTAATCATATTTGTATGGCCACCCATCTCACAGAACTCTGGGTGGCATACAACAAAATCATAAAATAACAATATTAAAACACACTACCATTAAAACATTTATTATCAAATGCTATTAATTAAACATTATTAAAAGAGGCTAGGCAAGAGCATTGGATATAATGAACAGTGGAGCCACTCAGCAGATCACCGTTCCCTTGTATCACGTTCAGCAGATCATGTTCCCTAGCGTGTGCTAGATCTCAGAGTAAGAAACCATATTGTTTAAAGAATAAAATACAGCGTAGCTGTAGGGCTTGAACCCATACGGTGAAATGCTGGAGGTCTCAAACTTCTCTCAGAAACCCTCTGGGGCTACATCCCCTCCTCTCTCCTTTCTGCTTCAGTGTGGCTGCTACATCATGTACTTTCCAGAGGGGTGCCTTTATCTGGTGTTCTGTCCCTTAACCCCTGGTGTGTTAAATAGGCAGGGATCCCAATGCCTATGCAACTTACTGGCAAAGAAAAAAAAAGCTGATAAAAATGAAATAAATACTTGAGTTAATCAATCTCACAAGAATTAATTATTATAAAAGTGAGAATCTTAAAAATGAAATAAATACTTCTTTAGGAGTTATTTCAAGCTCACAAGAAGTAATCACAATAAATCTTGTGAGAATATAAAAAACAATCAATTTGGGGAAACATAAATATATAGTGTTTATGATGCATCTTAATGGAATCTCTCATAGAAAACACAAAGGAGAAAGTACATTTGAAGTAGATGACAAGATGAGATGGATCTGCTAGTAATACAGGAACCTGCTGCATAGATACCTCAAGATTCATCAAATGTATAGAAACGGAGGTGGCATAGAAAAACTAAATAATCAGAGACCATAAATCAGACTTAGATCCACCCAGTCAAATAAAATTTAAAATCCTAATTTAGATTTATAGCTAAAATTGTTTGCCTAGAGACAAATAGATTTCTTCTTTGTTTCTCTGGATCTCCCATTTTTGTAGGGATGCATCTCTTAATCAGAGGCTCAGGAACAATATTACCTTAGCTCCTTTTTCTAGCCCTCATACATTACTTTCCACTTATCTCTTTCCTGAGGGAGGACTGAAGCTTTTCCAAAAGAACATAAACTCTTCAATCTGAATATAGGAAGGGTGAAGGAAATATCTTATTACAACATGCTACCCAGTCATGTCTTAGTCAAGAAGATCCTGCTTGAGACAGAGTGTGGATTCTCTGGGATGCAACTTTCAATCCTGTGAATGTTGGGTGGCATCACAACATACACATATTAAGAAAATGACAAAGAATTGTTTAATACAAGACATGCATAATGTTTTCCACATCAAAATGGTGATATGGGATTTGTTACTTTTGTCCATTGTAGCATTGTAGCTTTGGGGATGGGGAGATCTCTACTCTTTTTTGTTGCAGAAGTGATGGGGATGACAGTTGATAAATTTATGTTAGGTAACCACTTGGATGACATTTTTTCAACTGTTTTATCCCCATTCAACATCTGCAAAGCACATTTCAACTTATTCATTTTAATTAATAGAGCTTATGATAAACATTTATATTAATTGTGTTGAAACATACCAAGCACACATAGAAGAGAAATTTAGCAGTGAATTCAAAATGTTCCAAGTTCCCAAGTATACTGTCAGCTGCTAATGTATGCTGGCAGGAAATGCAGAATACAGGTAGTGCCTGGGTTAAGAATGCCCAGTTTATGGACAACCCATTGTTAAGAATGGAGCCTATTGTAGCAAAATTCGAGCTAGATTACACAATGTTTTGAGTTAAATACACAATAGTTCAAGTTAATTACACAATACTACTTATACAGTATTATACAGTAATACTGT